GCCAATGTGCGAGGATAAGAGAAGATGGATGTCCCAACTCAAGCAGACAGCAAATTTGCCCTTCCTCCACCTTTTTGTTCTAGTCATGCCCTCAGTGGATTGCATGGCGCCCACCCAAGTTGGTGAGGGCCATTCTTACGTAGTCTACTGGTTCAAATGCTAATGTCTCCCAGAAACACCACAGATACACCCAGAAATAATGTTTTAACAGCGATCTGGTCAAACTTTATTTAAGGATGACACATAAAATTAACCATCATATACCATTAGAGACTGAGAAGAAGCCACAGAATGGGGGCAAAAATCTTTGTAAAATGCAGATCAGATAAAGGACTGGTACCCAAATAAACAAACGAATTCTTAAAGCTCAACAATAAGAAGCCAACCCAATTTAAAAAATGGGCAACAGATCTGAACAGACACCTTACCAGAAGAGGAATACAGTTGGCAAATAAGGTTATGAAAAATGCTCAACATCATATGTCATTAGAAAATTGTAAATCAAAACAATGAGATACCACTGCACACCTATTAAGATGGCTAAAATTAGGGCAACAGTAACTCTTTTTAATCCTCACCTGAGGGTATATTTCCATTGATTTAGAGAGAGAGAGAAATATCTCGATGGAGAGAAACATTGATCATTTGCCTCCCGCATGTACCCCAACTGGGGATTGAACCTGCAACCCAGATAAGTGCCCTGACTAGGAATTGAACCCCCAACTTTTTGGTGTATGGGATGACGCTCCAACCAACTGGGCCACCCATCCAGGTCTAGAGCAACAGGAACTCTTATTTGTTGCTGGTGGAAATGTCCAGTGATCCAGCTGCTTTGGAAGACACCTTGGCAGGTTCTCACGAAGCAAAACAGGGTCTTACCATTTGACCCAGCAATCATGCTCCTTGGATGCTTTACTACATGGCTAACTCCATTGGGAAGGCATGTGAGTGGGTGAATAGATAGGTACAGGTAGATGTGTTTATAACCTGTCTCATAGCATATCACCTGCTTGGGGGAGGTGCCCAGAGGTATAGAGGCCTCCATTGCAGTTCTGCTTTGCCACTACCACCTTCAGAGGGCCTTTTTTAGATAAGAACTTCATAGTAGTCTTCATAGTCCTGAATAGAAGCACTTTTTATAACCTGTAATTGTGTGTTAATTGTTTACTTTTCTGCCTTCCCCATTAGACTATAGACCCAGCGAGGGTAGAGACTATTTTTTTCATCACTGTATCGCCAATAGCAGTATCTACCACAGTATCTGGTATGTAGAGTAGGTGCTCAATAAATGTGTGTTTAAGAAAGATAGACTAACCAGTTTTCAAACGAGAGTGAATATTTGCCGTATTAAATGTGGCAAATTTAAATATTTGCCAAATGAGAGGAATACAAGCTTCAAGGCAGAAATGCCAGTGTAGCCCAGCCGGTATTGCTCAGTGGTTGAGCGTTGACCTATGAACCAGGAGGCAATGTTTCGATTTCCTGTCAGGGCACATGCCTGGGTTGCGGGCTCAATTCCCAGTAGGGGGTGTGCAGGAGGCAGCTGATCCATGATTCTCTTTTATCGCTGATGTTTCTATCTCTCTCTTCCTCTCCCTTTCTCTCTGAAATCAATTTAAAAAAAATTTTTTTAAAGAAATGCCAGTGTACATGTAAACTGCTTATCTTTGGCGGGAGTTGTAGGATCTGATGGCAGTGCTTCAAGGCAGCAAAAACTGTCTTTAGGAAGACAGTGGCAATTCACAATTTCTAGTCTACCATGAGAAGCACTCCTAAGAGCTTTTTCTTTTCCATTTTGAAAGAACTGTTAGAACGCAGCAGTGTGTGTATATATTAGTCATTTATTTATTTGACTTTTTAAAGTCATCTTGACAAAAATTTTGGCCAAAACACAAAACAGTACCCAATAAATTACTGTATACATAATTTGTTCAATGTACTTTTAAAAATTTTTAACTAATTTCTAAAGGTTACTTTTGAAGTATATAAATTATTCTCAGTTGAGCATTAACAAATAATAGTCATAGAGTTGAAGATCTCTTAATTGTTTTACTACTGTAACTCAGTAGATGATTTATCATATAATGTTACTCAAACACTAAAAAAAACAGTTGTAAATTTTCATAAGGATTCATATTCTTCAACTATTTCCTCTTTCCTTTATTTCACACAAAATTTCAGTTCACTGTTTGGCAGTAGGTTTTATTTATCTAGCAATACTTTTCTCAAGGTATTTTCTAAATGTTTTTAAAAATATCTATTCCTTCTTTACAATGTGCCCATCAGATTCAACAAGCATGCTTTCTATTTCTTTGGCATGGAAATTAAGACAAAGTGTTCTGTTATAGACTATACAACAGGTTCCCTCATCTTAGGCCCGTGGTCGGCAAACTCATTAGTCAGCAGAGCCAAATATCAACAGTACAACAATTGAAATTTCTTTTGAGAGCCAAATTTTTTAAACTTAAACTATATAGGTAGGTACATTGTTATTAACTTAATTAGGGTACTCCTAAGCTGGCCTTTGCTAAAAACGTCCTCAATCTGAGGGGTCGACCTCAGCGAACATACCCCCACTTCTTCTAACGCCACTTCTTCAAAATAGACTCGCCCAGGCCAAAAACCGACTTCTGCACACGGGCCACGAAGTTTCAATCGCATTGTATGTGCGTGCCCGCACCTGGTATTTTGTGGAAGAGCCACACTCAAGGGGCCAAAGAGCCGCATGTGGCTCACGAGCCGCAGTTTGCCGACCACTGTCTTAGGTTATTATTATTATATTAACACATTGAAATAGGAGACCCAACAGTTAGTCTTTCTGATGATTACCAGTATCTTTCCACATGTGGTTTTCCCTGGAACTGGAGAAAACTATGGAATTAGGAGAAAGCATCTCTATTCTGGAATGTAAAATTAAAATAGATTCCCAATAATGTGTGTTAAACTCTGGCAGGTTTGATGACTTCTGATCTAGCTCACTTTTTCGTTTTCTTTTTCCACACAGATTGATAGAGCTACATTCTCCCGATAGCAGGAACACATTGATCCTACGCTGCAAGGATACAGCCACCGCACACTCCTGGTTCGTAGCTATCCACACCAACATTATGGCTCTCCTCCCACAGGTGTTGGCTGAACTCAATGCCATGCTTGGTGCAACCAGTACAGCAGGAGGCAGCAAGGAGGTCAAGCATATTGCCTGGCTGGCAGAACAGGTAGGCTGGGCGACAGGGCAGGGTTGCCATTCATAGCCAGGATGGTTCCCCCAGTTCATATGTATCATGCAGTCATGTCTGGACATCTGGATTGCAGAGCTTTGTTTATCCTCCCTACCATTTAGCTATTTGTTGCTAATTATCACCACCACCAGAAGAACTGACCGCCATGAGAATCATCATCACAACAAACTACAAAGAGGCTCTTATTTATCACCTCTGTTCTTAATGACAGAAAATACTTTTCATGATTTTAGAACAGGATCAGCAAACTGTTTCTGTAAAGGGCTAGATAGTGTCACAACTACTTGCCATTGTAGCAATAACACAGTCATAGACAGTATGAAAATGAAAAGGTGTGGCTGTGTTTCCATAAAACTTTATTTACAAAAACAAGTAGTGGGCTGCATTTTGCCCACAGGTCATAGTTTCCCAACCCCTATTCTAGTCTGCTGACAGAGTTTTAGGAACAGCAGGCGTAGTCCCCTGCTCTGGGAAAAGTATAAAATATACAAAGTATTTTACAAGCCATTAGACAAATGTCTTCCCCAACTGAAAAATGAAGAGAAACAAGAGGACCTAAGTGGCTATTGACCGAAGGGAAAGGAAGAACGTAATCCAAGTTTGACGTAAGGGAGACTAAAAGTTCTGTGCGATGTATGGTACAGACTTCTTCTTTTGGGTCCTTCACTGTCAGCTGGGCCAGAAGGACTTGAAAAAAGAAGACTGAACTTGGGGTTCAAAGAAGAGTTTTCAAGTGCTAGTTCTGATTTTCACTGGTTTTAGATCTTTTTAAAAGTGCCTTCATCTCTTTAAATCCTGGTTCCTTCATGTGTGTGCAAGGGGGCAGGCAGTTAGTATCAGCCCAGGGTGGTTTTGTTCTTTTATTTTTAAGTACAGTTTCCCAGGTCGCCTCCCCCATCCCTCACCCCTTCCACCTCAAAAGAGTTTTGAGCCGTAACCGGTTTGGCTCAGTGGATAGAGTCAGCCTGCGGACTCAAGGGTCCCAGATTCGATTCCGGTCAAGGGCATGTACCTTGGTTGCAGACACATCCCCAGTAGGGAGTGTGCAGGAGGCAGCTGATGTTTCTAACTATCCCTCTCCCTTTCTCTCTGTAAAAAATCAATAAAATATATATTTTTTTAAAAGAGTTTTGATATGGTAGATCTATTGTGAGGCCTGGCAATCTTGTTTGGTAACTTTCAGTGATTGTGTTGTGGACCATTTTGGATTCTACTAATCTGTTTTTTTCAGCTCTGAAATTTTTGAACATTTCAAATAATAATTATAAAAATTAGAACATAGAATTATATTACTAACACAAACTTAAGAACCATATATATTCAGATATTTGATCATTTTTAGGGAGCATAATTAGAATAACTAGACAGAGAAGAAACTAATGAAAATCATGTTATAACTACTTATGACTTACAAAAGTTTTAGTCTTTTAGTTATGTTTATCATTGTTTCTATTTTTTATGCAATAGTTGAAAAACACCATTGAATGGTAATTTTTTGTGCTTTCAGCAATGGTAGAAATGTTCATGGTTTTTAACAGGTAATAATTCACATAGTTCAAAAATCATAATAAAAAGTTAAGAGGTGAAAAGTCTTACTCTTTCCTGTCCCCCATCTGCCTAGTTCCCACTCCCAATTCCTCAGAAAGATCATCAATTTCATTACTTTCTAATGATTTGTTTGAGAGTTTCTCTATGCAAATAGGAACAAAATCCTTCTTTTCTTCTCTTATGAAAGAAGATAGCATATTATGCACACTATTTTATACCTTGCTCTTTTTTTCATTAAACAATATGTCCTGAAGATCTTTCCATATCAATGAACAGAGGGCATTCTTTTTTCCTTTGTGTGATTGCAGTTAAATAAGCACTCTCCCAATTTCGCTGTTACCGTCTTTTGCCATTATCAATGATGCTGCAGTGAATAACCTTGTAGTTTGTTCTTTAAACATGTACTGTCCAAAGTCTGGTTCCGAGTTCAGATAAATCAGGGTACAAGGGAACCCACATATCTGAATATATTTGGTTCATAAGTTTGTGTTAGTGAGTATTAAAACTTTGGTCAGAAAGGGATTTATCGAGAAATTTACAAATGTTCCTGAGTTTGGATAATGACAATTCAGAGAGTAGGGGATATTTCTCTATCTGTAGGATAACTCCCAGAAGTGCTGAGTCAACAAGTATATTAATTATCTATTGCTATGTAATAAATTATCCCAAGACATCGTGGCTTTAAAATAACAAGCATTTACCTTACACAGTTTCTAAGGATCAGGAGTCTGTTTACAATTTGCCTAGGTGGTGCTGGCCCAGGATCCCTCATGAAGTTGTCAAGCTGTCAGCCAGGGTGGCAGTCATCTGAGGGCTTGACCGGGGTTGGAAGGTCCACCTCCAACACGATTAATTCACATGGCTGTTGGCAGGAGGCCTCAGTTTCTTGCTGCCTATTGCAGAAGTCGTCAGGCCTTTCCACGGGGCTGCATGAATGTCCTCAAAACATGGCTGATAATTTCCCCCAGAGTGTTGATCTGAGAAAGAGAACAATATGGAAGCTACAGTGCCTTTTATGACCTCTACTTTATTCTGCTTTACTCTCTTCATTAGAACTGAGTTACTATGTCCAAACAGCCTACACCCAAGGGCTTCACCTCTAAAGGGGAGGAATAGTAAAGAATTTGTGGGCATAGTTTTAGTTTTGTTTTGTTTTTAATCCTCATCAGATGATATTTTGCCCTTGATTACTAGAGAGAATGAAAGGGAGAAAGGAGAGGAGAAAGAGAGAAACATGGATTGGTTGCCTCCCACAGGTGCCCCCATCAGGGGCTGAGGACCTATAACTGAGGTACTTGCCCTTGACCGGGAATCGAACCTGAGACCCTTTGGTCCATGGGCCAATGCTCTAACCACTGAGAAACCAGTCAGGACATTTATTTAAACTACCACAAAGGGTATGTGCATTTGTAATTTTGATAAATATTTCCAAATTGCCTTCCATAAGCCTTGAACTAATTTAGATTCCCAGCAATGTTTGAGAGTTGCCAGACTTTTAAAGTGAACTTAGTATAGTTCATACAGACAAGTCGGAGAAAAATAAAGCCACCAATTCATCACAGTCTGTTTTTTATGGACTGTATTATGTGTGTTTCCTCCACTCATTTGTGAGCTCCTGGAAGACAGGAGCACACTTTTTCTAAATCTTTATTGCCATCAGAGAACTTAGCCTTATGCTTTGTATTATAGTAGAAGCGCAGTAATTTTTTTCTTTGTCTCTGTATATACATACAAAAAGCAAGCAAACAAGTCACTAATTATAAAATCTTGTCTAAGAAGACAACTTTAGGGCTCAGAAATAATACTAAGAAGAAAAGTTTCAGCCACTTTAAAAATAGTACCACTGAACTAATTCAAAGTACCGTTTCTAAAATACTCTTGATTTTTACTTCTCTGAGATAGTTGTTTGGGTTACCCAAATTAAATATCACTCTCAGAATAAGGTGTTGAAGCAGGATTGGATAGCATTTCTCAGAAGTATCATGAGCTTATATATCTGATAAAGGTTGGACTAGGTACATGCCAAAGTTTTTCTGACCATAAGATTGTTTATGAGTGTGAAAATGGTCAAGATAATTTCAGATCATATAACCTATTTAATGTAGGTAAGCATTTCGTTTGGCAAGAGGTGCATCTCCTGAAAAGTTTTCATATAAATGAAACCGTTCCAGTTGTACTTGGAAAACATAGTCATTTGGGGCAAATAAATTAAGAAAGGATCATTTAACTTTAAATGATTTCTCCTTAATTTATCCTTTTTGTTATTTCATGTTGTCATAAATTGAGTTTGCTTAAAACAGGGAAAACCTATAATATAGAATATTTGGTAACTGATAAATAATCTGTTCTATGCAAAGGGACTTCTCTGTTGACACTGATTTTTATGTGACTGATAGTTTACCTTTTAGTTTATATTCTTAAAAGGGAATTTTCTTTAAGTGCACCAAATGGGGGAACATTAATTATCTATAAAATCAGTATTTTTAAGCATTTGAGTATAGGTTAGAAAAGCCAAGACGGCCAAAGAAAACTTTGTTCTCACAGTTCCTACTTGGTCCCTGATAATTCCCCAAATGTGTAAAGACTTAAAGTAGTATTAGTGAGATGGTTTACTTAGTGTTTGCTCTGTGTTTTCCATTATAAAAAATAAAGAAGTACATCACTTGTCAAAAAGATTTATAAGATTAAGAGATTTTAGGGAATGAGTAGTAACTATTAGTATTTTTTCATTTTTAGTGCTATCTAACTCTATTCAAAAATAAAATTTTCAGCCGAAACCGGTTTGGCTCAGTGGATAGAGCGTCGGCCTGCAGACTAAAAGGTCCCAGGTTCGATTCCGCTCAAGGGCATGTACCTGGGTTGCGGGCACATCCCCAGTGGAAGATGTGCAGGAGGCAGCTGATCGATGTTTCTCTCTCATCGATGTTTCTGGCTCTCTATCTCTCTCCCTTCCTCTCTGTAAAAAATCAATAAAATATATTTTAAAAATAAAAAATAAAATTTGCAGAAGGGTCTTATTTGGCCAGAGTATATGCAGGCATATGGATGTGTGGGTGTTGAAACACAAGCAAACAAAAACCCTAACATTAGTGTCCCTTTTTTCTCCAGCCATAACCTCAATAGTGGAGCCCCAACGCTGCTTGCTTGCACTGATACCACAACTGAAAACACAAGCTATATATAGCAGGCAGCATTTGACTTCTGTAAAAGCAAACAGTATCTTTATAAGTTAAGGCAAATAGGCAAACAGAATGACTTAAATTGAGGCTTTCTTATTCTCCAATGGTAAGTAGAAAAGGGAAAAGATATTCTCCAAAATCTAAGGACTCAAGAGAGCTAAAGAATAAATGCTTTTTAAATTTTTTAATTGAATACAAAGTTTTTTTTATCTTGAAATTGAATATTCTGTTGACATTTGCAGTTTTCTTTAGAGCCTAAAATAGCTTCCTTGGGAAGAAATACATTTCATTTAGGTTTTCCAAATCCATATACTCTGATCTAGCCTTCAAAATCTCTTTCTTACAACTTAGGAGATCATTAATTTTTTAAAAATCAGGTTATCATTTTAACCCTTTGGGAAGACAGAATTACATTATTTTCCCTATTGAAATATTATCCATAACAATTTCAGAGACAAAGACTTAGTAGTGAACATAAACTAGAAATCCCTTTGGGGTACCTGTGACCCAAAATTGTAAGAATCTAGAAAACCTATTTAGAGATGGCATTCTCTCTCCAGACATTACAGTTACCTATGGACTAATATACAGTCCTAGAAAATTTGGGTTCACTGGTAAGAAAAGTATAATTATTTCTACAATAATTTGCTTGAATTCTGAAAGTCAGATTACGTATTTTTGTGCTTTCAGCACACGGTAGAACAAGGGTCACTTCACTGAGTTGAATTCATTTCCCACTCCTGGAATCAGCTGGGGGCTCTAGCTAGGAGGAAAGAGTCCAAATGGTAGTTGTAACACACAACAGAACCACTTAGGCCATTTTTCAGATTATAAATGTATTGTTAAGGTGCTCTAACATGTCCAGATTATCTTCAGAAGTCATTAAGGAGGAGAAAATGAAAAGGGGCTCTGAGACATCTCTTTAAGAGACAAGTGGTTCATCAATTTGGATTCTCCTTGAAGCCATCTGTAACTATGATGATAGTGAGCTGAAGAATCAGTGTTAAAATACGCTATTGTTAAGCATTGTCTGCTCAAAGATCTTATCTTATGAGGGCAAATGTTTTGCTTAAATTTATTTATTTACTGATAGATTTTACAGAGAGGAGGGGAAGTGGGGTGGGGGGTGGGGGAGAGAGAAACATCAATTTGTTGTTCCACTTATTTATGCATTCATTGGTTGATTCTTGTATGTGCCCTGACTGGGGATCAAACCCGCAACCTTGGTGTGTCAGGAGGATGCTCTAACCAACTGAGCTATCCGACCAGGGCCATGAGGACAAATATTTTGATGATTCCAAAGCTTTTTCTGAATGTAGTCTTTTGCTTTTGGGCCTTGGATCCTTGACAGTATGGATAAACAGTGGTGGTTTTCCTTTATTTTAAACCCTCAGAGAGATCATTGAACTTTATGCAAGTAAATGCAATGGTATGTTTGAAACTGAAACATAAACTTCCTAAGTATAATAGAGAAATATTTGACAATAGTTTATATGAGTGTTTTCCAGAATACAACATAGTAGGTCATCAGCATTTAAAAAAAAAAAAATAGAAATGATCAGAGTACACTGCACAAAATATAGAGATTATATTGTGTTGGAAATTTTTACATTTAGTTATTTATATATGTGTGTGTGTATTGGGTTGTAATGTAAAATATTTCTTTTTCTTTTTTAAAAAATATTTAAATCAGGTTTTTAAATTCTTTATTGAAAGTATTTAAAATATATTTCTTACAAAAAATATTGGAGAAATACTGATGTTTAGAAAATATGGATGGAGAAACAAATGGAGACTCGAGACCTGCTATGTCAGACCACCACTGAATGGACTTTTATAATTACATATCGTTATAGTTAGCTCTGCTTTCTGGATTTCACCATTGTAACAGGCAAAACTAGATGGTGGAAGACAACAGTGGAGACCTGTTCTCATGGCTGTGACTGAAAAGGATTTGCTGCTTTATGACTGTATGCCATGGACAAGGGATGCCTGGGCATCACCATGTCACAGCTACCCTCTTGTTGCCACAAGGTAAGACAAAAGACACAAAAAGAAAGTATCTGTCCTACTCTAAATCTTCTAAAGAATTTTAAAGTGAAGTCTATTATCTTAGGTGCCTAAAATAGGATTTAAGTAGCTGACATAGTTGATTTAGTCAAAAACTTTTATTTCACAACCTTATTGATTATTTTCTCCTAGTTCAGAATAAATGGTTTCTGTCATTAGTATTTTTGTGCGCATTTTTTAAGTTGTTGAAGCCGCTTTCTAACTGCTCCCTGCAAGAATTGCTTAGTCATGAATATAAGTAAATAGTGTGTGTGTTTTTCCTTTACTTTATTGACTGTGACTACAAAACCACTGAAATTGTGGTAGCCTCTTGACCGAGTGATGAAATCATTTAAACCAGAATGTGGTACTGTGGATAAACCACACAGCTCAGCCAAAATATTCTTCAATTTCTCTTTCTGGTAGAAGAGCACATAATTTTGATTTCATCAAATAAACATTGATTTGACCTGAAGCAATGGGATGTTTCTAGCATGCTAGAAGTGGGGAGTTAGAAGCACAAAGAACAGAGAAATGTAGATTTGGGTGCCAGTATGTCTTAAGAGAGAACTGGAGCCGAAACCAGTTTGGCTCAGTGGATAGAGCGTCAGCCTGCGGACTGAAAGGTCCCAGGTTCGATTCCGGTCAAGGGCATGTACCTGGGTTGCGGGCACATCCCCAGTGGGAGATGTGCAGGAGGCAGCTGATCGATGTTTCTCTTTCATCGATGTTTCTCACTCTCTATCTCTCTCTCCCTTCCTCTCTGTAAAAAATCAATAAAAAATATATTTTTTAAAAAATAAAATAAAATAAAAAAAAAGAGAGAACTGGAAACTAGTTACCTCGTGTTAAACTAGAAGACATATTGCACATTTAGTTTTATTGGAGCTTTAAAAAGAATCAGGGTTTTTTTGTTGTTGTTTTTTATTAAGTTATTGCATATGTGTTCATATCCCCCCCCTCCATTGCCCCCAAGAATCAGGTTTTGATGTAACTCAGAGACTACACATTAAAAAGGAGCCCCACAGAAAAGCATTTGGTACTCAAAAGAGCTAAATGTTGAAACCATCTGGTATGTCCCACAGGGAACAGTGGGGAGCAGTCCTGCTTTGAGCAAGCAAAGATTTATGCGAGGAAGGGTATTCCTTACATTACAGGAAGACTTTCATGTTATATAGGACTTCCTGCAACTTGCCACGCTCCCTTACATATATATATTTTTTTTTAATAAAAATACAATTTTTACATAGCTTTTCAGGAGTGTCTCTGTGATTTAGAGCTGGAACACCTAGATCACAGAATAGAGACAAGGGATTTGTTGAGCCTCAGAATGAGAGAGGTCCCCTCATTAAGTCCTTCAGGTCATAAGGGTCCTGCAGGAAGACTGACTCTAACCGTCAGTTTCTCTTGTTTTGTTTCTTAATCCCCACTAAATTATCACCTTGAGTTAAGAACTGTGACTTAGCCATCTCAGTACTTCCTATAATGCTTTGCATATAGTAGGCCCTCGTTAAATCTCAGTTGAGTTAAATTCTGTTACTTAAGTTATAGCTTCTCTGTCATGGTTACATTGGAAACATGACAGGAATCCTATGAAAACATGTGGACATGTCTCAGTAATTATAAGTGCAACGATTAAATTTATGTTTTCCAAAGAGTTAAGCTTATGACTATGACTGTAGAGATTGCTTAAGTTTAAATTTCAGGGTAAAAGCTTATTCTCTAGTTATGATTATAAAATGCAAGGAGGGTAGTTTTATCCTTAGGCCTTTCCTTAATTGTGGCACTGTGACATTCCATAGGTGAGCCTTTGTTTAATACTAGAAATTACAATCCCGTGAACAACTAGGTTCTGGCCATAGGCTAGACAAGTCCTAGAACTACAAAAGCACTTTGGTACTAAGGAAGGAAATGGGGTGTTTGTGTTTGTACTGTTAGTGTGGTATTAATTTGCAACTAAAGAAAAGTTAGAAATAAATTTAAGAGTTAAAATTATAACAGGAGTAGATCTTCATGACCTTGGCTTGGGCAGAGCTTTCTTAGATAGAAAACCAAAAGTGTAAGCAACAAAAAATAAGTCAATTAGACTTCATCAAAATTTTAAAAAAAATTTGTGCTTCAAATGTCACCATCAAGAAAGTGGAAAAAACAAAAAAGTGAAAAGACAACCCACAGAGTGAGAGAAAATATTTTCAAACTATATATCTAATCAGGATCTTGTATCTAGAAAATAGAAAGAACTCTTACAGCTCAATAATAAAAAAATAAATTACCCAATTAAAGTGGGAAAAGGATATGAATAGACATTTGTCCCAAGAAAATATACAAATAGCTAATAAGCCCATAACAAGATGCTCAACATAACTAGCCATCACGGAAATGCAAATCGAAATCACAGTGCGATAGATACCTCTTCCTACCCATTAGGATGCCTATAAGTAAAAAGACAGATAATAACAAGTGTAGACTGGGATGTGGAGGAAATGAAACCGTCATACACTGCCCAGAGCCGGTCCATCCTTGCTGTTTCAAGGGACCTGGCATATATGGCATACTATTCTTAATATGTTTGCTCACCTTCTTGGCACTATGTGTTTTAACCAAGGTCTCTGAGAAAGGTTATTTCCCCAGGTAGGGATTTTTCCCTGAAGTTAGGGAGGGAATAAAACCTCTTAACTAAGTGCCAGGCGGGTAATTAATCACTTTAACTATGAACAATCATGCTTAAGCTACATAATCTTTACTCCCTGGAATGGGATAAGAAACGCCCTAACCTTTGGAATAGAGATTGATAGGATTGGAATCAACTGGTATAAATACAGATGTAACAAGACAGAACTGAGAAGACAGAACCTACACAGAACCTAGAGACAGAAGAACTTCGCTGGAGAGAACATGGCAAAAGATCCTGGACTGAACCTGACTACAGAAATTTGCAAGAGAACCTGACTAGAACCTGGTGACTGAACCTGGCTGGAGAGCCTAGCGAGGGAACATGGCTACAGAACCTGGCTGGAGAACCTGGAGAACCTAGCAAGAGAACATGGACACAGAACCTGGCTGGAGATCCTAACCAGAACTTCGCTGGAGATCAAGAGCAGAACTTGGCTGGAGAACCTGGCTGGAGAACCTAGCAAGAGAACATGGACACAGAACTTCGCTGGAGATCCAGACCAGAACTTGGCTGGAGATCCTGGTTAGAGATCCTGGCTAGGCTGCTGATCAACTGAACGCTGTCTCCGTGTCATTCCTTCTTCGCCAACTCCGTCCACACCTTTGGGGATCCCTGGACCTGCTGGGGTTGGACCCCAGCAATACACTGGCTCCTAGAAATGAAAATGGTGCAGTCAATGTGGAAAACAGTCTGGAAGTTCCTCAAAAGGGTAAACATAGAGTCACCGTATGACCCAGCAATTCCACTCGTATGTTGTATACCCAAGACACACAAAAACTTATGTCCACCCACAAAATTACACATGAGTGTTTTTTTAACAGCATTATTTATAAAACCCAAACAGTGGAAGCAACCCAAGCTCATTCAAATAATGAATGAATAAAATATGGTATATCCATACAATAGAATAATGTTTGGAAATAAAAAAGAGTAAGATTTTTATAAACTCTGCAATATGGATGAGCCTTGAAAACGTTATGCTAAGTGGAAAGGAGCTAGACACAAAAGACCACATAGTATTTGATTCCATTTGTATAAAATGTCTAGAATAGGCAGAGCTATAGAGACAGTACAATTAGTCATTGCCAGGAATATAGGGTGGGGAGTGGGAGAAACAATGAGTATAGGATGTCTTTTGGAAGTAATGAAAATGTGCTAAAATGCAATGTGGTAGTGATTATATAACTTTGAATGTACTAAAATCTATTGAACTATACATTTTAAATGGGTACAGTGTATGGCATGTGAATTATATATTTCAATAAAGATGTTATAATTTAAAAAATACAATGCCATTTAATGGAGGGGACTAAGGCCAATCCTTAATAAACTTGAGTTTGAATCCTTATTTTGCCACTTCTAGTAGGTAATTGGGAGCATGTTACTTAACCTTTCTGTGCTATAGATTTTTCATTTGTTAATGAAACTCTAATGAGATAGGGCGGGTGTGAGTAATAAATGAGTTAATACTTGTAAAATGCCTACAATGGTACCTAACATGTCGTTAGCTGCTTTAATTATAATAATAATAATTTATTATTAAGTGAAAATAAGTCAAAGAAGAATTCTATATAAAAAATATAATTGGTTAATTTGGCCATTGTTAAAAGAGGAGTTTAATTTTACAACAGCTTTTACAAGTAGTGAAAGTTTCATATTAAATGTGAGGAATTCAAATGTATTATTTGGATCAACCTAGACATGCAAATTGAAATTGTCCATTAATTAAATGGGTGGAGCCTGTAGCTCCCTGAACATGTTTCATGCTAAGAGTAATTAATGTGACAGCAGGGATTCTTAACTCTTTGTTCAGGAAGTACCAGTGGATTAGGAACACAGATGACAGGCAGATGAGAAGTTTAGTTTTTCCATGTGGCCGTGTCCACCAGGTGGAATTGGTTTAAGTCAGTACATGATATAATTAAGTGGGATTTTATCATCCTCTGTCTCCCAGAGTGGGTAGAGTATGGTCACTGAGAGAGAAGCCCGAGGATGGACCCAGACCAGGAGGTTTACCACAAAGAAAGGCAAGGCCAGAAAGTGGTGTGCTTGTGTCTTTTTAGTGTGGGGGAAAGAGAGGGTTTGAGATTTATATGAGTAACTAGAGGCCCAATGCATGAAAATTCATGCAAGAGTAGGCCTCCTTCCCCCAGCTGCCAGCACCAGCTTCCCTCCGGCACCCGGCACCCTGGTTGGCTTCCCTCTGGCCCCGGCTTCATCAGGAAGGACGTCTGGAATGATGTCCAGAAGACGTCTAGTCTAATTAGCATATTACCCTTTTATTAGTATAGATGAGAAAGGGCTGAATGTT